GAATTAAGCAATGAATCCATCCAGACCTGGGTTTTTCTTAGTTGGTAGGTTTGGTTTTTTTAATTATTACTGCTTCAATTTCATTGCTTTTTAATGGATTATTCAGAGTTTTTAAGACTTCTTGGTTCAGACTTGGTAATTTGTATGTAGGTATGAATCTATCTGTTTCTTCTGAATTCTCCAATTTATTGGCATATGGATTTGTGAAGTAGTTGTTAATAATCTTCTTGGTTTTGGCAGTGTCTATTTCACCTTTTTCATTTCTGATTACATTTGTTCATGCTCTCTCTGTCTCTCTGTCTTTCTCTTATTTTGGTCAGGTTGGCAAAGGCTTTGTCCATTTTGCTTATTCTTTTCAACAAGGAACTCTTCATTTCATCAATTCTCGGGTATGACTTTTGGTATCAATTTCATTGATTTCTGCTCTTTTATAATTTCCTTTCTTGTACTAGCTTTGGGTTTGGATTATTCTTGTTTTTCTAGAACCTTCAGATACATTATTAGGTTATTTATTGTGACTTGGTCTATTTTTGTGATGTGGGCATTCATAGCTATATACTTCTTTCTTAAGACTGCTTTCATTGTGTCCCATATGTATGCTGTCCTAGCATTATTATATAGTTCTAGAAACTCTCTTACTTCTTCCTTGATTTGTTCTGCAACCCATTGGTTATTTATGAGTATATTGTTTAGTTTCTATACATTTTCATAATTTACATGTTTTCTTTTGTCATGATTTTTAGTTTCATTGTGCTGTGATCTGATAAAATGGGTGGTATAATTTCAATTCTTTTGCATTACTTAAAATTGCTTTAGTGGTTCGTATTTTGGTCTGTTTTGGAGAAAGTTCCATGTGTTGCTGGGAAGAATGTGTATTCTATTGTTTTTGGGTGGAACATTCTATCTGTTAAGTCTGTTTGTTCAAAGATTTTGTTCAACCCTGTTGTTGCTTTTTTCTTTGTCTAGTTGATCTATTTGTGATAATCAGGTTTTGAGATTCCCTACTGTAATTGCATTTTTGTTTGTCTGATCTTTTATGTCCAGTAGTACTTATTTTATGAAGTTTTGGTACACGATTGTTTGGTGCATATATGTTAATAATCGTTATCTCTTTCTGTTGGATTGCTCTCTTAACCCGGTATGTAGTGACTATCTTTGCATCTTTTGATTAGTTTTGGCTTGAAGTCCACTTTGTCTGAATATAGGGTAGTTACACTTGCATTTGCGGGGGGGATTCTCATTGCATGGACTATTTTTTTCTATTGTTTGATTTTTTAGTTTATGCATTTCTTTTTTTGTTAAGTGTTCTTGATCCATACTGCATATCTGTGTCTTTTGATTGAGGAATTGAGACTTTACACTGAGAGTTACAATTGATAGATATTGATTTACTCATGTCATTATCTTATTTTCCTATTGCTGATTATTTTTTCCCTTTTGCTTATTTGCTCACTCTACCTGTTGCATTCATTGTATTGGATATTTTGTCATTGTTGGCTTCATTGTCTCTAGAATATCTTTGAGAATTTTTTGGAGTGCTAGTTTGGTGGTCATGAATTTCTTCAGGAACTCTTTATTGTGGAAATATTTTATTTCTTTATCAGTTTTGAAAAGTAGGTTTTCAGATTATATCAGCCTGGGTTCGAAGTTGTTTTCTTTCAGAGCTTGAAACACTTTGCACCAACCTCTTCTGGCCTTAAAGGTTTGTGTTAGGAAATCTGCTGTAATTCTAATGGTTTTACCCTTGTAAGCGATACTTTGCTTTTCTCTAACAGTTTTTAAGATTCTTTTCTTGTTTGGGGATTCTGGGATTTTGGCTGAGATGTGTTGCAGAGAGGTTCTTTTCTTATTGTGGCTATTTGGGGTTTCATATACCTCACTTATCTGTTGTGTATTTTCTGTAAATGAATATTATTAACTATTTTCTAAAAGAGAACATTTTTAATCTTTGATATGAAACAACAGAATAAATTCACTCAAGCCTACATGGTTTTAGTAGAAATTTAAGTCTATTTTATATTTTTAAATATGTAGGTGAAAAATATTAGTTTACTAGATGATTGAGTGTACTGTCTTTTCTTTTAATTCTGTTTACTTAATTGGAAAAAAAGTAATGATATACCCTGGTTATACTGCAGTGTACTGTATTTGTTCATTTGCAAAAATATACTGAGTGGCCAGGATCTGCTTGTAACTTTTCTGGCCTAAGGAAAAATATTGTTGAACAAAACATACATGGTCATAGATGACTTGAAATATTGGGTAAGAAATACTTTCTTGCATTTTCTCAAGCTTCCTAGACCGTGGTTTGGCTCTCTGTCCTATTTGTTAATGTTTTGTCTTTTTTGGGCAGAACTTTCCTTTTCTGACCCTTTGTATGACTTATGGATTTATGTCTGGGCCATGTTTTCACTTGCAGTCTGGTCAGGTGTGGTTGCAAATGTGTGTACTCCATGGAATTCCTCCTTCTTTTGGATTACAGGCTTTCTTTTTTCCCCCTTTAGACATATGTTAGGGGTAATGGCTTATTGAGCACACTTAGCTTATTTATAGAACAAAATTGATATTTTAATTTTCAATCTACCATAAAAGTCAAAGCCATTTACCAAATTAATCTAGTGGATAGTTTTCTTTTATAATATTAAGTTAAATTTGATGGATAATTTATAGAATAGTGAAAAACTTTTTAAGTTTAATAGGAATATAAGCCTGACCTCTTATGTCAAGTAAATTTGTTGCACAAAAATATAAATAATGAAAGGGTATTGGACTTTTTTGAAAGTCCAAGTTAATGATTCATGTCATATTCATGTAGTATTTCACTGCAGATTACTTCATGGTAAAGTCCTTCCAGTTGAATGACAAACTGGAGGAAAATAATATTTCCTTTTCCCTTAGAAATATTTTTGCCACTCACCGATTCTTTTTTTTTTTTTTTAAGATGGTTGTCTCACTAAGTTGCCTAGGGTGACCTCAAACTCATCAGCCTGCCAACTTGCTGGAACTATATGCATGTGCTCCCATGCTCAGCTTCAATTCTTAAGTTACACTATTTCCATCAAGGATATTTTTATTAGTCTGAAAGATCACATATGTGGTCACTTTTATGTTATAGAGTCTAGTGTTGCTGCTGTCTCTTTGCATACATTCCTTAATGTTTGTAGTGATTGTGAAATGTCTGTCAGGTTTCTTCTATTTTCTATTATGGATAGAAAATAAAACCTATAGAATAAGTGAATATATTCAGTGAAATCTAAGTGCAGACTACAAAATGGTGTCTCTGAGCTTTTAAAAATACCTTCTTGGAAAATGATGCAACAATTTGGGAATTATAACAAAGTATTTCACTGTAGTGTCAACCTTGTAGATCAGGGTTGGTGAACTTCAGCTTGCTGATTCACTAACTGTTTTGCAAAGAAGATTTTCTTGGAACACAGCTATGTTTGATCATTTTGGTTTGGTTGGTTTTGTACACAGTAGCAGAGCTGAGCAGTGGCAGAGACAGCGTGGCCCACAAACAAGTATTTCCCAGCTGGCCCTTTACAAAAACAGTTTAGCTGGGCCAGGGATTTAGCTCCAGCGCCCGATCCCCTGTACCACACACACACAAAAAAAACGTTTTTTGTAACCTTTCTTCTAGGTGATTCCCTTATTTTCCTTTCTTGAAAAGTAATTTTTTATTTGAGTCTTTTAAAATATTTTGCATAATAGGGAGTAATTGATGAATGATGATAAATACTGATGAAACAGTATCTAGGGTTATAAAATAACTTTCTAAACAAAGTAAAATTAATACAGGATCTTATCATAGATTTATAAAAAGATCTAGTAGGTGAGCATGATAATTGTAAGATGGAAAGTTTTATTTCATCACTGAAAAATATATTACATATTCTTTTTTTTCTCAGGAGACCTTTAAAGGAATGAGAGGGTGTCTAAGACTGTTTGATCATGAAGTATCAATCCTTATATATAGTTAAATTTCCTAAAGTGGAAAACCTCAAAAAACAAAATTTGGGCCTATTTGACTGTGACAATATGCCAGAAATTGGTTCTTATAATTTGTACACCGTTACTTCATATCTTTGAAGAGGCTTTCCCTCACTCTCTACCTCCCTCTCCCTCTCCCTTTCCCTCTCCCCCTCCCCCTTGCACTCCCTCTCTCTCACCTCTCTCCAACACTTGTCCCAGCTTTTTTTTTTTTTTGACACCAGGGACCTTGTGTTTGTGAGGCAGGCAGTGGAACCACTGAGCTAAATTCCTGGCCCTGTCCCAACTGTTTTTTTGTCCATTAAGAAAATATTTGTAAGGGCCGGGATTTAGCTCAGTGGTTTCGCTGCCTGCTACGCAAGCTCAAGGGCCCAAGTTCGATCCCCGGTACCAAAAAAGAAAAAAAAAAAATATTTGTAAAAATTAAGGTTGTGATTCACCTCTCAGCCCTCTTCATCCCATATTATTCCTCCCTATTGAATCATGTGGCATGGAGTATGATAATTCAGGTTATGTTTTTATTGTAAATCACAGATACTATAGCACAAATTTGTTTGAGAAAAATATTTGGACTTGATTTTTATTTTTTCTACATTTTCTACATTCTACATAAAGAATCCTTTGATTTTTAAAAATAGTGCAGCTGAATGTATCATTCAAAAAAATTCACCTCTGAAACCGTGGCAGATTATGGCCAGCTTAATGCTGGATGCGTCTACATGTCACTTTCACAATTTGGAGAAATGCATGCTGTGATCTGCTGCTTATATTTGTATTTCCATTTTCAACTTCTGTAATCATCCTAACCAAGAGTATTTCATTCTTTAACTCATAGGGGGAGATTTTAGTTTATGCTAATATTTTTATTAGCCTGTTTTGACACTTGAACATAAAACCATAAAAATTCTTATTTTCACAGAAAGTTTTCCTTTAAATGATAAAGCCAAGTATTTAAATTAGGTCAATATTTTTTACTTATTTTATAAAATATTTGTCCTCATTTTCTCAAGGCAAGGGGAGCAGATGTTCCAGAGATTCCTGGAGATCTTACTCTTAAGGCATGCAGCAGTACAGCAAGTATGAAGGTCAAACATGTGAAAAAGTAAGTATAACTTTGGAGTGAGTTCTACATGAATTCTTATAAATGGAAATCAGCTCTCGTTCTTGTAAAAAACATTTTATTTAGGTCACTTATTGAATAAGCTCTGTGAATACATTAAATTATACTGTTAACCTTTAAATTTGACTCAATTAATGGAATAGGTGTGCACATTATCTGCTTTTCTAAAAATATAGTTTATTTTTTATTCTGAAATTTGTTACCAGCTAGGTTTGCATTTTTTTATTAGGAACAATCCAAGCATATCCTTCTTGATAGCTTTATTGTGTGCTCTCATTTATTTGGAAGAATCAGCTTTGTTGAGTTATGAATTGCTAGATCTCAGGTTTGCATCTGAGAAGCCTGAAACAGATGCCAAGAGTCAACCATTAAATGAAATACCTGAAGATTCCTGGGCAGTGTTAAACAGGAAAAGCCTCTTTTCACTTGATAAAGAAGGCATAGTTAGCTGGCTGTGCTTCATATGTTAGTAGAGGGAAGATAAAGATAAAAATGTTCGTTCTACATCCAGGTCCACCACCCCAGGACTGATGGGCTGTGACAACATTCACAGGTAAAATATGGTTTTTTACTTTGTGTTGTGAATGCTGCTTCTGGTTAGAAGCTGATGGTTCACAATCAGTTTCCATAACAGCCACAGAATGTACAATTTTTCTACAGGCTCTGACTTGGGTAAGGATTAGGAGAGTATAGTGAGGTTTTTAAATTTTTCATTTTTGGTCTAGCTTGTGCACTAAACAGAGTCATTGGATTTATTGTATATCTAAAAAGTTTGTGTGGATGTATGTGGCTCATGTGCATGTGCTCATTAAATATTTTTGCTTGCATGAGCTCTTTAACCTGTTGTGTTTTCCCCTTTGACCTAGTAATTTTGACTATTCCACTATCTGATTTCATATTTATTTTCATGTACTTCAGGTTGCCCTTCACTAAGGGTCACTTTCCAAAGATGGCTGAATGTGCACATTTCCATTATGAGAACGTTGAATTCGGCAGCATACAGGTATATTTGGTATACTTTTTGCTTCTTGAATTACAATAACAGGTGATACTTTGAGGTTGTTTCAAAACTATTGCTGTTTATTGCTTGAGGTGAGATCTTTTATTCTTTTCTCTTGAATAATACTTGATGCCAAGTTGATACATAGTATTAATCATCACACTAGCATATATGAATTAACAGGTTCACAAAGCTGTAATTCATATGTCTCACTGCAGGGTGGCTCTGATTTGAATGTGTTACATTTCTGTTGGCTTGAATCGCCAATGATACAGGCGTGACTGTCCTGTTGGTTCTTCTAATTTTTTTTTTGGTACCGGAGATCGAACTCAGGTCCTTGTGCTTGCGGGACAGGCGGCGGAACCACTGAGCTAAATCACCAGCCTTTGACTGTCCTGTTAGGCAGCCTGGGAACACATCAGGTGGTACAAGCTACCTGGTGGGACATTTGTGCAGGTACTTCCAGTGATACAAGCTGCCTGGTGGGACAGTCAGGCATGTATCACCAGTGGTTCAAGCAGTTGGAATGTGTTAAGGAAAGTCAATCTTTTCTCCATCTTCTGTCATGTATTATGCCCATTATGTGCACAAAGTACTTACCAGTAGTAGCTTTCCATTCTGAATTTAGATAACCTTGCCAGTGCTACCTTTTCTTAATTAATTGCTATATGTATTGGTGTTTAGCAGATTAAAGTGTTATTCGATTCTTCTTTTTCAAAGTGTTTGGCTGTTATTTGTCTTCACATTTACATGCAATTATAGAATCTAACTGGTTGGCATCAAGCTTAATACTTTGCTGTTATTGTAAGTTGTTGGCAGCTTAATGTGAAAAAATTATAAACAAACTTTAAAAATAGGCAGATTGTAGTTATTTTAAAAATTCTATTTCCTTAGGGGAGCAAAAGCCATTCTTTATGTTGGTTTTCAAAGTAGGCTAATAGAAAAAAACTTTTGATCTTTTCTTTTTTACATGCTACATACAGAAATTCTCTACTTTGGGCCAGTCTCCCTAACTCCACTCTCTCTCCAAAAGAAAACTTATGAGACACTAGTAATACTGTGTCATGTACTTTTTGTAATTTTGTTTCATAAATAAGTTACATGAATTCAATACAGGATGTATGAAAGTCCAGGACATTTCTGTTTCTGATAAATTGATAGTTTAAAAAAGCATTAGAGATTTATAATGCTTGACTATTATGACAGCAAAGGACATTTTATTTCTTTAATGCTTATATCCTTGAGATTGCAGTTATAGTGATAAATGTGTTAGGTCAGAAAGAGCTGATTAAGAAACCAATAATGAATGTATTTTTCATTTTGTGACTGTTAAGTGTTTGAGCGATTTAGTTTACAGCTTAGAATTTAGATAAATTATTTCTGAGTAAATTTACTTTGTGTTTTTAATTTTATAAGGTCAAATGGGCTCTTTTGGAAGCAGTAAAATTTGCAGAGTTCTACTGAGCATCATGAAAATAAATAGATGACTAGAGATCTAAAACCAAATGAGAACAGTATTTAAAATATTGACTCTGTATAACAGATGAGAAACTCTCTAAGGAATGTAATTTTAAATAAAACGAAACTATTAATGGTAAGCATGGACTATGGAATACAGAAAGTCTTGGATTTAGTTGGATAGTACAGATTCTAATTTCTGTTCTGCTTCTTAGGAAGTTTGAGACCTTGGGAAAGCAGCTTAGCCTCTTTGGTTTTATTTCCTTCATCTATTAAGTAAATAAGGATATAGTAAGCGATAGTATAGTTCTAAACTTTTATTGTTTTGTTTTATATTAAAAGTTTATAATAGAGGTGTTGAGAATGCGGGTAAGGAATAGTATGGAGCTGGATTTGGTTGTCTTTGGAGATTGTGTTAAATGCTTATAAATTCAGTCCCCTTAATGAGAGGGCTATGTCTTATTCCTACTTGCAAGCCCATTAGGTAGACTTTTCTGCCAGTGTACTGATCTGTAATCTTCATTTTAGATCTGTACAAGTTTTCACTTTCCACCTTGTGCTCACTTCTACTCTGTAAACATTTCTACTATTTCTCAGGCAGAAGAGAAAAAAAAGATACGACACTGACTTCGTATGTGAGATGTTTGAGTGAATTTTTCAGGTCTATGTTGGTCACTGAGGAAGCTTCTGGAGTGTGGGAGAAGGAGTGGTTCATAGAACTCATATCCAGCTGACTTTTGCTTGGATGCCCAGTGAGCATCTCAGACTTAACATTCCTTTTGGTGTGGTTCACAGGAAACCAGCACGGTGGCACCTTGCCAATTCACCACAGAATCTTCTTTCTGTATTAGTCATGCGTGTTGGGGACAACTCTCCTGAACAGTCTGTTCTCTTGCCAGTTTTATGCTGACTTCCTCTGTTCTATGTCTTTGGAGACAGACGTCTCAACACATTTCCCAGGTCTCCTTGCTTTTTACCTGTGTTGGGGAAAGCCCATGGCAGATTCCATTAGGAGGGTAATACTAACTTCCATTAACTGAGTGGATAGCAGGAACAGCCTGGCTTAACTTGCATGTTTATATTTTTTTACAGGGGTAGTAAATATTCTTGCTTTAGCTGGTACATGATTTTACATTTTATAGTTTTACATTTTATTGTCTGAATGCCACTTAAAGAAAAACAAAACAAAAGAAAAAGTAATATTAACCTTCAGACAACCCTACATTCCATAGAAGTAGTTAAAATAAGGATATGTCTCTGTTCATATTTTTTGTCATTTTATAAATTGCATTCTATAATAGATAAATCCTAACACATTTGATTACAAGCATGTTTATGGAAAATGAATCCTGTATTCCTTATTTATTCTTAATATAAGATTGGAAAATGTTCTGAGAGAAAAATAAGAAAATTTCGTAACATATATCTAGAATAGACATATGTTGGCAACTTAATTAGACTTATGTTGGCAACTCTGTTAAATAACCAATAGGTTGCTAATACTGTCAGGTTGACTTTGTTGTTGCTTTTTTTTTTTTTTTTTTGGTACTCGGAATTGAACTCAGGTCCTTGTGCTTGCAAGGCAGGCAGCGGAACCACTGAGCTAAATCCCCAGCCTGTTGTTGCCTTTTAATATGTCCCGACTCTGGGACATATTTTCTGTCACATATTTTCTTGTTTTTATAACTCTTAGGAGTTTCTCTTAGATTTCCAGATTTCTTAGTATTTAAAGCCTTTTCTCCTCCTTAGGTCTTAAAAATTTACAGCTGTAATTGGCTATCATGCCTTACTTTGATAAAAGATATAAATATTGATTAAATTTTTAAAATTCATAAAAGAATCATTAACTTAAGGGCTTTCATTTTATTTTATAAAATGAAAAAAATAGGGAGCACTGAGTTACATCTTTCACCCTCTTTATTTATTTTTTTAAATTTTGAGATAGAGTCTTAAGTTGCCCAGGGTGGCCTCAAACTTGTGATCCCTCAGACTCCCTAGTAGCTTAGATTACAGGTGTTCACCATCATGTCCAGTGAAAATATTCATAGTCTTATATGTTAGAAATTCCAATTATCAATTTTATTTAGACTGAAAGACATAATTGCTTATGTAAAAAATTTTTAGATGTAAGTACTTTGGGTCAGCACATTACTATATAATGTATAAAATACATTTTTATAATCTCTCCTTTGAATTCCAGCCAGTACAAACAACTGACCTCCCTGCATCTTCACTTGGATACTTATCAAATTTAGCATGCTTTGCAGCTCTTCTCAGGCTTGCTCCTCCTGCTATCTTCCCATCTTGGTACATAGCAACTCTATCCTTTTAGTCAAGGGGCCTGGGAGATTATCTTTTCACTTCCCTCAGTCCCTACTTTTAAGTTTATCAGCAAATCTCTTGATTCTGTCTTTAAAAGCAGTTCAGGATCTAATCACACCTACCTACCATCTTCCCTGCTGTGACTTTAGCGTAAACCACTGTGGTTTTGGGAGGATTATTTCAATGACCTTCTATAGTTGGCACAGCAGCAAGAGTGATTCTTTTCAAATGTAAATCAGATTGTCACTTTTTCAAAGCTCTGCAGTTACTTCTCCTGTTAGTCAGAAAAAAAGCCAAATTCCCTAAAATTTCCAACCAAGATTTTTCAGGGCACACCCTTACCACTATCTTCATGTTCTCTTCCCCTCAGGAAGAAGGTTCCATCCCCAGTGTCTCTTTGCAATTTCTCCAGTATGTGTTCCCCTCCTCAAGACCTTTGTACTTTGTTTCCTCTCCTTGGAAAGCTTTCCATGGATTATCAAGTACCTTAATGTGTCCCCTTTTAAAGTATTTACCCCACTGTTGTCTCCTCAGAAGGCACCTGAGATTCCAATTCTAGGTCACCAGTGTCTTCACCTCCCACCCATGTTCCCTCCTTTCTGCTCAGTAACACCACCACTTGCATGATAAATACTATATGGTATTACCATTATGTCCCTTTTCTCATCCATAACAGTGTCTGACATACAATATTCACTCAGTAAATATTTGAATGAATGGAAGAATGAGGTTGTTCCTGGATGAGGGGTCCTGTGAGGACTTCTTTCTTTGTTCTTGGTGTCTTGAACAAAAAATTGGACAAGGCACACAGAAAATGCAGTGAGGATTAGCATTTTGTGAAGGTGGAAAGTATGCTGCACAGGGCAACAGCAGGCTAGTGGAAAGGCTCACAGCAGCCCAAGGTTAAGGGGAAATGGGTCACTTGTATCCAGAATTCCTGGTTTGAAGCCAGGCATGGTGGCACATTCCTATAATTCCAGCCCTGGGAGGCTGAGGCAAGAGGATTGCTGTGAGTTCCAGGCCAGTATAGGATACATAGTGAGTTCAAGGCCAGTCCGAACTACATAGTGAGATTCTGTCTTTAAAAAACAAACAAACGAAAAAACCAAAACACACACACACACACACACAAATTTCCTAGGTTGGCTTTTTTTTGGTACCGGGAGATCAAACTCGGATCCTTGTGCTTTTGAGGCAGGTGGTGGCACCACTGAGCTAAATCC